GGCTCTAGAAGCTAAGGGACAGAGCCGCCCATGAAATAGAAGCGCTTTGTGGGGACAGAAGATTGAGAGGATATCTCTTGCTGCTTTAAATGCATCTTGCTGCTGCAGCAGAGCAGCAGCACCTGCTGCATGAACACCTAAGGGGCTGCTGGACCTCCAAAGCATTTGCTGCTGCTCCTGCTGCTGTTGCTGCTGTTGCTGCTGCTCCTGCTGCTGATTGTCAAAGGAGGACAGGTCTCCTGCAGTGAGAGACGCAGCAAAAGGAGACACTCCCTTGAGTAGCCCTAGGGGACAGCAGGCCGAGCCTGTGTTCTTTTGCTGCTGCTGCTGCTGCTGCTGTTGCAGTTGCTGCTGGAGCTGCTGCTGCAGTTGCTGCTGCAGCTGCTGCTGCTGCGGCTTCATATGATAAGCAGCAAGAACTAGAAGCAGCAGAATATGCCACAGAGAATGTATGAAGAAGGGCCGAGCTGTCTCTTTACAAGGAGACGCATTAAATAAGCGCAGCAGCAGCAGCAAATATAAATTAAAAGGCAGACAGCTAACTGGATACATCCAGCTTGTTACTTCTCCCCACGCAGCAACCTGCACATACACCCCAAAACAGAATCTATGCCCTCCTGCTGCTGCTCCTGCTGCTGCTGCTGCTAAGCCTGTTGCTGCTGCTTCTAAACCTGCTGCTGCTGCAGCAGCAGCAGCATCTTTCTGCTGCTGCTTTATGCATATATATATACTAATTTATCTATACATATATACGGTTAAATATAATAAACAAACGAAATATATACATATACACAAATATATATAATATTTATTTATTTATTATATATATTTATTTATTTATTATATATATATTTATTTATTTATTGATGTACATTATATAAATAACAGATGCTATAATAATACAAATGTTTATTAAGAAGGGCTTAAAAAGATATATTTATAAATATCTCACAAGTTCTTCTGCACTCTTCGCTGTACTTTGATATGTTTGTTTGCATGCAGTGTTCATACAAATGCATATTATAATTTACAGATATATATTTGTTTATTACTGTATTATTATAATATATAATACATAAATATGCAGTGTATATACAATGTAATATCTATACATTATTATATATATAACATATATTATATATATTATATAGTATATATATTGCATATATTATATAATATATATATTATATATATATTATGTACAATACAAATAAATACGTATATATATGCATATATAGATATAATATATATATATATATGTACATATATACATATACATATATATACATGTATATATATATAATATTATATATATATACAATTAGTTGTATTAAAGATACGAGTGCTATGTCTTAAAAGACGAATCTTACAAACGGAAGAAGAAGAAGCGCTGCAGTATATCGGTTGCATAAAGAGAGAAGCTGAGGGGTATTTACAGAAGAAGACAGCAAACCAAACATTTTATAGCCTCCTCTTTTATAATCTGCTGCATGCAAAAAACAAAGACAGAAAAAATGAGGGAACTGCCAAACATATTGCAGAAAAAAACACAAAGCGCTGCCTCCGCTCAGAAGACCCTCCTACAAACAAACAAACAAATAAACAAATAAATATATTAAATTAATTAATTAATTAATTAATTAATTAATTATATTAATTAATTAATTAATTAATTATATTAATTAATTAATTAATTAAATATATTAAATAATTAATTAATTGGTTAAAAAATGAAAAAAATTCATCAAGCAGACAAAAGGAGACAGAAGAAAGAGACAGATAAAGAGACAAATAAAGAGACAAATAAAGAGACAAATAAAGAGACAAATGAAGAGACAAATAAAGAGACAGATAAAGAGACAAATGAAGAGACAAATAAAGAGACAAATAAAGAGACAAAAGGAGACAGATAAAAGAGACAAAAGGAGACAGATAAAGACACAAATAAAGACACAAATAAAGACACAAATAAAGACACAAATAAAGAGACAGAGACACGGAGAGGAGACAAAAGGAGACAAATAAAGAGACAAATGAAGAGACAAATGAAGAGACAAATAAAGAGACAGATGAAGAGACAAATAAGGGGACAAATAAAGAGGCAAATAAAGAGACAAATAGAGAGACAAATAAAGAGAGAAATAAAAAGACAGAGACACGGAGAGGAGACAAAAGGAGACACAAGAAGACAAATAAAAGGACGAAAGGAGACAAATAAAGAGACAAATAAAAAGACAAATAAAGAGACAAATATAGACAAATGAAGAGACAAATGAAGAGACGAAAGGAGACAAATAGAGAGACAAATAAAGAGACAAATAAAGAGACAAATAAAGAGACAAATAAAGAGACAAAAGGAGACAAATATAGACAAATGAAGAGACAAATAAAGAGACAAAAGGAGACAAAGAAAGGGACAAATAAAGAGGCAAATAAAGAGACAAATAGAGACAAATAGAGACAAATAAAGACAAATAAAGAGACAAATAAAGAGACAAACAAAGAGACAAAAGGCGACAACATACGCCTGCAGCAGACCATCCAATGAGCAGCGGGAGGGCCCCTACGAGGGCCCCTACATGAGTGCAGTAGGGCGTTCGTGTCTTTAGCTGCGTATACACCCCAGCGTATAAAGCAATAGTAGCAGCAGCAAGTGCTGCTGCAGCAGAACCCGGGAAGCAGAAGTGCAGCAGCAGCAAACCAGAAGCACCAACACAAACAGAGTAAGATATGCAAGAGGAGACACTTAAGACGCCGCGAGGGAGAGGCCTGAAAGAGACAGCAGCAAACACACACCACATCATATCTCTCTCGCTGCTGCTGCTGCTGCTGCTGTTGTTCTTCCTGCTGCGGCTGTGCTCCCTACCAATAGTGCCGTTGCACTTGCTGCTGCTGCTGCTGCTGCATCTACATCTGCTGCATCTACATCTGCTACATCTACATTTGCTGCATCTACATTTGCTGCATCTACATTTGCTGCATCTACATTTGCTGCTGCTGCATTTGCTGCTGCTGCATTTGCTGCTGCTGCATTTGCTGCTGCTGCCTTTGCTGCTGCTGCCTTTGCTGCTGCTGCATTTGCTGCTGCTGCATTTGCTGCTGCTGCCTTTGCTGCTGCTGCATTTGCTGCTGCTGCATTTGCTGCTGCTGCATTTGCTGCTGCTGCTGCATTTGCTGCTGCTGCTGTTTACCTGTTTTTAGTTCTTATCATCTTGGCGTCTCTGTGTCTCTCTATAATTTGATTTGCAGAGTTTGCTGCAGCAGAAGTCAAGAATACCCCTACGAACAAAGCAGCAAGGGGCTCAAATCCAGCAGCAGCAGCAGCAGCACCTGCTGCTGCTGCTGCAGGCCCCCCGCCCCCTCCTGTTGCTGCTGCTGCTGCTGCTGCTGCGGGAGCTGCTGCCTGCTGCGCAGCAATATAACCCCCTAATGAAGAGAGAGACACAAGCAAACTCAAGCGCCCTTTGCTGAGGCTCTGCACACACAGCAGCAGCAACAGAAGCAGCAGCAGCATAAGCAGCAGCAGCAGCAGTAGCAGCAGATAGATAGATAGATAGATAGATAGATAGATAGATAGATAGATAGATAGATAGGTAGATAGATAGATAGATAGATAGATAGATAGATAGATAGATAGATAGATAGATAGGTAGATAGATAGATAGATAGATAGATAGATAGATAGATAGATAGATAGATAGATAGATAGGTAGCTGGCTAGCTAGCTAGCTAGCTAGATAGATAGATGCATAGCTAGATAGATAGATAGATAGATAGATAGATAGTAAGAAAATAAGTATAGATAAATGCTAAAAGATAAAATAAAACAATAAAGATATTATAACTGCTGTTCCGAAGACAAGAGCGTGTCAGTACCCAGTAGGCTGCTGCTTGCTGCAGCAGCTGCTGCTGCGGCTTCCCGCGAGAAGGCGATAAGGCAGGCGCAGCAGCAGCACCCCCTGCAGCAGCAGCCGCAGCAGCAGCATTTGCTGCTGCTGCTGCTGCCGCTGCTGCTGCTGCTGCTGCTGCGTTTGCACCGGGCTCAGTTGTTACAAGAGGACTGCCACCAGCAAAGACTGCGAAAAGACGATGAGGGATGCGCATGCCTGCTGCTGCTGCTGTTGCTGCTGTTGTTGCTGCTGCTGTTGCTGTTGCTGTTGCTGCTGCTGCTGCTGCTGCTGGCATAGTAGCCTGCAAAGAGGAAGCAGCAGGAGGCCCTAAACAAAGCATGCCCCAGGAGGATCCCCCGCTGCAACCGCTGTCGTTGCTGCTGCTGCTACCGCTGCTGCTGCTACTGCTGTTGCTGTTGTTCTTGCTGCTGCTGCTGCTGTGCAACATCGAACTATCTGTTGTCATCTGCAGCAAATCATGCGCATCGTCTCCTGTCTCTAAACCTCTTCTTCTTCTACCTTCCACAGGGGGGCCCCCCCCTGGGGGCCCCCCTGTAGGGGGCCCCCCCCGACTGCGGCCCGTGGCCCCCAGAGGGGCCCCCAAAGGGGCCCCCAGTGGGGACCCTTTAGGGGCCCCCAGAGAGGCCCCCAGAGGAGCCCCCAGGGGGGCCCCCAAGGTTACCCCTAGGGGGGCCCCCAGGGAGCCCCTAAAGGGACCCCAGGGCCCTAGAGCAGCAAAGGAGCGGGGGGCTCGCTGCGACAGCAGCAGCAGACTCATGTGCTGCAGACACTAGAGAAGAAACAGAGAAAGTCTAGGGTTATAGCCCTCGAGAACAGCAGCAGCAGCAGCAGCAGCACCAGCAGCGGTTGCTGTTGCTGCTGCTGCTGATGATGAAGACGCCTGCAGCTTCTCGCTTTCTATTGCATGCAAAAGAAAAGGATAAGGGTAAAGCTATGAATTAAGCTTCTTTTAAGCTGCTGCCACCACAGCAGCAGATGTTGCTGCAGCTGTTGCTGCAGCAGCAGCAGCAGCTGCTGCTGCTGCAGGCAAGCGGAAGGTGGCAGTTGCTGCTGCAGCAGAAGCTGTCTCCTAAACATTAAGAAGGCTCTTATAATGCTCTATTAAAGAGCTCAACCCTCAGTTGTTGCTTCAGCAAAGAACCGTAGCATGCAGCAGCAGCAACAACAGCAGCAGCAGCAGCAGCAACAGCCCCAGCAGCAGCAGCTGGAGGACCGGCGACAGCAGCAGCAAGACCACCCACCGCGAGGCCACGGTATCAGAAGCAGCAGCAGCAGCAGCAGCAGCAAAAGCAGCAGCAAAACCTCTCTTTAAGTCTTAAAAGAGACAAATATAATTTAATTAATTTATCTATCTGCTGTTTCTTCTTGCTAGGGGCCTCAACTCTCAGGAGATAGCCGTGAGGGGCCCTTCGGGTGTCTCCTCAGGGGCCCCCCTGTGTGGTCCCTCCAAGCCCTAAACCCTAGACCCTAGACCCTAAACCCTAAACCCTAAACACTAAACCCTAAACCCTAAACCCTAATCTATACAAATTCATGGCTGTCTCTGCCTGCTGCTGCAGAATTGACATCAGCAGCAAGAGAGATCAACTGCATCTGTGAGTACACCCTTAGCAGCGGCAGCAACAACAACAGCAGCAACAGCAGCAACCGCAATAACAGCAGCAGCAGCAGCAAAACCAGCAACAGCAGCAGGAACAACAACAACAACGGCAACAACAGCAGCAGCAGCTGCTGCAGCAACAACAACAGGAGCATCATTATCATCGTCAGCTGCAGCAGCAGCAGCAGCAGCAGCAACAGCAGCAGCAGCAGCAGCAGCAGGGATGGCCACTCTGCGCTGTCTATGGGTAATAGCCTGCAGCAGATGCAGCAGCTGCGAGGGGCCCCCACCTGAGGGGGCCCCCAAGGGTACAGTAGAGACGCTGCAGCACCGCGCAGCGCTGCCGCTGCCGTCTCTTAGAGCAGCAACACTTAGAGGGCATAACAGAAACACTAAGCTTCCTGCTGCTGCTGCTGCTGCTGCTGCTGGGAAGAACAGGGGGACTCGCGTGCAGCAGCAGCAGCAGCAACAGCAGCAGCAGCAGCAGGGAAAGACACAAAACACGTCTGGAGACGGGCCTAACGCTCCTGCTGCTGCTGCTGCTGCTGCTGCAGGCAGCATCGATAACCCAGCAGCAGCAGCAGCAGCAACAGCGACGTCCCCGCAGGAGCGTCTTCTTGCGCAGCAGCAGAAAGGGGGTCTCCCTTCTGTTGACGAAAAGAGAGCAGCAGCAGCAGCAGCAGGGGTTACAGGAGGAGCAGCAGGGGCCTGGTCTAATGTTGTTGCTGCTGCTGCTGCTGCTGGCGGAGCAGCTGTGGGGCCCCACCCTGTTGTTGCTGCTGAGGGCTGCACTGCGCGGCTGCTCTTCTCCAGGGCTTTTCAATCAGCTGAGCACAGATGGAGACGCCTTGCTGTCAGTGCTGCTGCTGCTGCTGCTGCTGCTGCTGCTGTTGCTGCTGTTGCTGGCGGTGCTGCTGCTGGTGCTGCACCCACCTCTGCGTGCCTGTTTTCCTTGTTGCTGCTTCTGTTGTCTCCATGCTGCTTCTGCTGCTGCTGCTGTCTCTTTTCTGCTGCTGCTGTTGCTGTCCCCTCCCTGCTGCTAAACGATGTCTCTCATCGCAGCAGCAGCAGCAAATCAGTCCTGTCGGTTGCTGCTGCTGCTGCGGCGGCCTTGCTATCCTTTTGCCGTTGACCTCTATCTTGCCTTTGCTGCTGCTGCTGCTGCTGCTGCTGTTGCTGCTGCTGCTGCTGCGCTGCAGAGACACCTGTACACCCCACTGCCTACTGACGGAGAGCTGCTAGGCTGTTTCACCTGCCAGGTTTTGCTGCCTCCGCAAGACGACGTAACTTGTGCTGCTGCTGCTGCTGCTGGTCCGGGGTCCGCAGCAGCAGCAGCAGCAGCTGCTGCTGCAGCAGTGGACTGGGGAGTACCGCAGCAGCAGGAGCAGCAGCAGCAGCAGCAGCACTTATTCTTTCATGATGTGCAGCAAGAAATTCAGTTCAAAGAACCCACTTGGCCTTGTGGGCCCCTGCTGATGCTTGCTGTCCCCTCCCAGCAGCAGCAGCAGCAGCAGCAGCAGCAGCAGCAGCGGCAGGGCTCTTCAGCAGCAGCAACAGGAGCAGGCGGTCCTGCTGCTGCTGCTGCTGCTGCTGCTGCTGGTGTCCCATTTCACTGGGAGGGAGAGGCGCAGGGCAGCGTCAGTCGTGCTGCTGCAGTGGAGGCAGCAGCAGCAGCAGCAGCTGCTGCTGCTGCTTTCCTGTGGCCGGTGGCATTCGTCAGAAAGAGGATCGGTAGAGAAGGAGGAGGAAGCTGCTGCAGCTGCGGCAGCAGCTGCAGCACGGAGTTGTTTGCTGTTGCTGCACTGGCCTTAGAGGAGGACCTGCAGCCAGAGGAGACACTACCCCAAAACCATCAATGCTTTAGGTCTCTTCAGGTGCTGCTGCTGCTGCTGCTGCTGCTGCTGCTGCTGCTAAGAGTGCTGCTGCTGATGCTGCTGAGAGTGGTGTTGTTGCTACTGCAGCTGTTGCTGCTGAGAGTGCTGCTGCTGCTGCAGCGAGTCTCCATGCTCGCTTTTTGAAGTCCCCTTGCATGTACCGCAGCAGCAGCAACCCAATTATTTTGTTAGCTGCTTCTGCTTCTGCTGCTGCTGCTGCTGCTGCTGCTGCAGACAACAGCAGCATTCAGCTTTTTGGATGATCTCCTCGAGTTGTTCATCGCCACTTTGCCGCCTCTCCCCGCCCTACAAGCTGCAAAAGTGTCTCCTCCTGAAGCAGCAGCAGCAGCAGCAGCTGCTGCTGCTGCTGCTGCTGGCGGGGGTGCCAGTGCTTGGCGTGACAGGAACAGCAGCAGCCGCCACGGAGGCCCCTCCCCAGCGAGCGCAGCAGCAGCAGCAGCAAAGGACCTCTTCGGGGGCCCCTCCACTGCAGCAGGCGCCCCACAGCGTCGCAGAGCACTTGGAGGGTTTAGTTTGCTGCTGCAGCTTGCTGCTCCTTTCGGTAGACCTGCGGTTAGCGAGCTGAGGCGTTTGCTGCTGCTGCTGCGGCAGCTGCAGGCAGCACCCCCAGACAGCCTCTTAAGCATACCCGCAGATAAGACTCCTGCTGCTGCTGCTGCTCGCGCAAACCCGCAGCAGCAGCAGCAGCAGCAACAGCAACAGCAGCAGCAGCAACAGCAGCAGCAGCAGCAGCAGCAACAGCAGCAGCGGTTTGTGCTACCTCCTAGGCCTGTAATGGAGGGGCCCCCTCAGCCTCTCTTCAAGCTGCGGCAGGCAGCACTAATAGCTGTCAGTCTCACCACCGTCGTTGGAGTCTCCTTTGTTGCTGCTGCTGCTGCTGCTCTTGCATTGCTGTTACTTGTGCTGCTGCTGCTTTTGCTGCTGGTGGTGCGCCTGCTGCTGCTGCTCTTGGTGCTGCTGCTGCATGTGTAACAGCGGCCGGTGCTTCCAAAGGATTTGCTGCTGCTGATGGTGCGCAGAAGCGATTGCTGCTGCTGCTGCTGCGCTGCTATTGGTGTGCTGCTGCTGCAGCGAGGGCTGCCGGATGATGCAAGAGATGCTGCAGCAGGGCCTGAGCAGGTGAAGCGTCTCCTTCAATATAAACCTTATGGGGAGACAGCAGCAGCAGCAACAGATGCACAGACATGCCTTCGGCGGCTCCAGCTGCTGCAGTGGCGGCGGGAGCTAAAGCAGCAGCAGCTCAAGCAGCAGCAGCAGCAGCAGCAGGAAGCTGTCTCTTGTCTGGATTCACCAGGCAAGGGCGCAGCAGCAGGTGCTGCTTTGCTGCCTGTAGGGGGACCCACGGGGGAGAGCAGCAAGGATCATGCTGCAGCCGCAGCACCTGTTGCTGCAGCAGCACCCGCTGATCTGGCTGCAGCAACACCTACTGGTGCTGCTGCGCGTAGCAGCAACAGCAGCAGCAACAGCAGCAGCAGCAGCAGCTCAAAGAGATCCCCAAATGGGGCTGCTAGCCCAGGAATGAAAGGAGACAGTTCAGGGGGGACCCCCAGCCCGACCCCTCCCCACATACGAGGAGACAGCAGCAGCAGCAGCAGCAGCAGCAGCAGCAGCAAACGAGGTAGTGGTGGAGGGACAACGATAGAAGTTCATATAAAGGAGACATTTAGCTGCCAGCTGAAGGGGAGGGAAGACCTGCAGAGCGTGCAGCAGGAGACATCTGTTGCTGTCGGTGTTTAACCCAATTGTTGCTGCTGTTGCTGCTACTGTTGCTGCTGCTGCTGCTGTTGCTGCTGCTGTTGCTGCTGTTGCTGTTGCAGCTGTCTCCCCTTGTGCAGCCCATGATTTGCATAAGGGCGGTGTATTGGGAGCGCTGAGGTGTCTCCTTTTGTCTCCTTTATTTAAATGTGTCTCCTTTCAGGGTCAGGTTCGTCTGTGTTGTTCTGCTGCTGCTGCTGAAGTGGGGCTGTCTCTATCTTTTTGTGGGGTCTCTCGTCTGCCTTCTCTGAGCATACACCAAGCAGCAAGGATACAAAACAAGTACTCTGCTGCTGCTGCTGCTGCTGCTGCAGCTGCTGCTTCTGATTCTGTTGCTGCTGCTGCTGTGGTCGATGCGCCTGCAGCAGCACCAGCAGCATCCCTTTCTACTGCTGCTGCTGCTGCTGTTGCTCTTTCTGCTGCTGTCTCTACTTCTGGTTGCGAGCAGCAAACGGCTGGATGATGTAGCTGCTGCAGTGTGTTGTTGTTTTCGCTGCTGTTGCTGCTGCTGCTGCAGCATACAGGAAGGCGTGGGTGCTGCTGAGGAGACAGCAAATGACTATCAACCAGGGGGCCCCCCAACTGTCTCCATTCTAACGAGGCCCCCAGCCCCCTCCTTCGTCCTCTGCAAATATTTTATTCCTTCGGTACAAACACCTCCACTTGCAGGTACACCCCAACGCATGCATGCATGCAGCATGTTTACTGCGTGCATGCATGCATGCATGCATGCATATTGCATGCATGCTTATTTGCTGCATATTGTATGCATACATATTTGCTGCGTGTTGCATGCATTTTGCATGCATGCATTATTTGGGGCTTTGTTTACGGTGGGG